GTTACGTACATTTTACCATAATTTCTTTTGTTTGTTTTTGTTTTTTGAGACTGGGTTTCTCTGGGTAACCCTGGAATTTCTCTGGTAGCTGTGCTAAGGACTGGGCATGGTGCACATGCTGGTAATCCCAGTGATGGGAGCTGAAAACAGGGCATCCCCAGGGCTCCCTGGCCAGCCTGACAAGCCAAGTCAGTGAGTCCCAGGCCTGTGAGAGACCTGTCTCAAAAATGTGAATGGCTCCTGAGGAGTCACAGCTGAAGTTGTCCCTTGACCTGTATTGCAGACACACACACACATGCACACACGCGCACACACACACATATGCACAAACACCCACACACGTGGCTGCACCTGCCACATGTGAACATATGCATACACACAGAAGTAGTTAAAGTGGGGAGGAGAATATACCCAAATGAGTAGGTACTCAGTTAAATGTTTACTTATATTCTCCTTTTTGTTATGTGGAAATTATCCACATTTGACCCGACTACGAGGATTTGTTTTTTTTACCAAAGTTAGATTGAGGGTATCTGAGCCCTTTTTGTTTGTTTGTTTGTTGTTGTTGTTGTTTTCTTCGAGACAGGGTTTCTCTGTGGCTTTGGAGGCTGTCCTGGGACTTGCTCTGTAGACCAGGCTGGCCTTGAAGTCACAGAGATCTGCCTGCCTCTGCCTCCCGAGTGCTGGGATTAAAGGCGTGTGCCACCAACACCTGGCTACCTGAGCCTTTCTTTATCCTGTGTTTAGGAATCCTTCATAAGTCCTTTAAGATTTTACTACATAAGTGGAGGCGCATGCCTTTAATTGCAGCACTCAGGAGGCAGAGGCAGGCAGATCTCTGTGAGTTTGAGGCCAGCCTGGTCTACATCGCTGAGTTGTTTTCTCACTCTTTGTTCTTTGTCTCTTTGACTCTTTTGGCAGCCTACCACCCAGCTCCCAGATAAATCACACACGGAAGCTTATTCTTTCTTGTAAATGCCGGCCTTAGGTTGGCTTGTTTCTAGCCAGCTTTTCTTCATTTATTCCTCTATTTGCCTTTGGGCTTTGTCCTTTCTCTATTTCTGCATATCTTTACTTCTGACTCTGTGGCTTGCTGTGTAGCTGGATGGCTGGCCCCTGGGGTCTACCTCTCCTCCTTTTCTCCTTGCTCCTAGATCTTCCTTCCCATATTTCTCCTTCTAGTTATTCTCTCTGCTTGCCAGCCCCGCCTATCCTTTTTCCTGCCAAGCTATTGGCCATTCAGCTCTTTATTAGGCAAATCAGGTGTTTTAGACAGGCAAAGTAATACAGCTTCATAGAGTTAAACAAATGCAACATAAAATAATGCAACACATCTTTGCATCATTAAGCAAATGTTCCACAACATAAACAAATGTAGCATACCTTAAAATAATATTCCACAACATACATAGCAAGTTCCAGGACAGACAGGACTACCAAGAGAGACACCAGTCCAATAACTAAACAAACAAACAAACGAATAAATAAATAGAGGTCCTTAAGGCTCTTTATATCAGGGCTCTGGGTTCCTCCAAAAGATTTTTAAAAGGGCCCAGTACCTGAACAAATGAAATGATTAACTTTGCTACTCCAGAAAAGAATGTTAATCCCAAAGTCATTTATTTTGGCTTTAGAATAGACTTAGCGTTTTTGTCAGATTTTCCTGCCTAATGACTTTCTGCTTAAGCTTCTTTAAAATTGTTTTAAATTCTTTTGGGTATGGCAGCCTAGGAAGTCGGGGTGAAGACATGGGCCGCAGATGGGAGCTGGACCAGAATTTCCGTTTCCCTGTATTAAAGCCACCAGTTAAGCTGCTTGCAGAGCAATTTGGCAAAATGGCTTTTAAAGTCTTAAAAATATGCTTACTCTTTGATCCAGTAATTCCACTCCTAGGAATTTGTCCCAAAGAATAATCAGACAAACATACAGAATGCAGGGACGGGGGCATCTACAACACACATCAGCAAAGAGGTGTAGCCAGCTGGTTAGATAAAGTGTGCAGTTATCCCTGTGTGGCGCCAATGTTTGCCATGTGCTTATAAATGAAAAGGAGACATCTATTCATAAATACTGTGAAACAGTAAAGAAGGAGGCAGAAACAAGTTCTGAAAAAAACAGTGTATTAACTGTGACTGATCTTGTGCATTTTGTTTTTAAAGTTTTCTGCTTGATCATATAATGCTTTGTCATTAAAAAGCAGCTTTCATCATCTGTAACATACATGTGCCCACATGTGCGGGTACATGCACATCTGCTTAGGTACCAACAAAAAAGTTTTGTGGCTGGTTTTGGTGACACATGCCTATAATCCCAGCACTTGAGAGGCTGGGAGGCAGGAGGATCCGAAGTGTAAGGTAACCCTGGGCCACAGGAGAAGCATGAGAACAGAAGGGAAGCTAGAGGCCAGAGAGGTCACTCAGCAGGGAAAGGCGCCTGCTTCCAACCTGAGTTCCATCCCTGGGAACCACGTGGTGGAAGGAGAGACCTGACCTCCACATGCGTGTGCTGTGGCACGTGTGCCCCACAATCCTACATAAAATTAAATAAAAATTAAAACAATAATCAAAATAAGTGCTAGGTCTGGTGACACATGCCTTTAGTTCTACACCCAGGAGACAGAGGCAGGTGGATCTCTGAGTTCGAGGCCAGCTTGGTCTACAGAGCAAGTTCCAGGACTACATAGAGAAACCCTGTCTTGAAAAATTAAAATTAGAATAAAATAAGTAAAAAGTTGCCAGCTAGGCATTGAGGTGCATGTCAATAATCTAAGCTATACAGGAAGCTGAGGCAAGAGAATCAGGGTGTTTCAAGACCAACCTGGGCTACAAAGCCAAAAATGAACAAAACACTGCCTCAAGACAAAAACACCTCCAAAATAAAGTTTTTGCATGTAATGCCTATAAAGTGGGCAGTTTGAATGCAAATAATTTAGATAGATGGTTTGGGAGGATTTTTCAGGGGGTGGTGGTAAAACTCGATCCACAGTTTATACTCGTGTATTGTGTACTTTGATCATGTTCACCCCATTTATACATGTGTATTGTGTATTGTGATCATACCCACTCCATTACTCTCTTAGCCCCATTTCCTTTCCCACTGAACCTCTTCTTTCCAACAACCATTCCCTGTGTCCCCATTCCTGTTCCCTCTCTTCTCCCTTTACCCCTCCCCCACTTGTCTGTCCTCTTTCCCTGATCACTGAGTTTGGAGTTGACTGCATCAACATGGGTGGATATTGTTTACTGCAGCTTGGACAGATGACCAGTGTCTGTGTCACTGAAGAAAATTACTACTCCCCCTCCCTCCCTCCCTTCCTCCCTCCCTCCCTTCCTGTACAGGTTTTCTCTCTGTAGTCCTGGCTGTCCTGGAGCTCAGTATGTAGAGCAGGCTGGCCTTGAACTCACTGAGATCCTCCTGCCTCTGCCTCCAAAGTGCTGGGATTAAACACGTGCTCTATCACTCCTGGCCCCCTTTTTCTTTTAGAGCCAAAGGCCTTATAGGCCAGCCTGGCCTGACATTCACCTTGTACCTTAAGATAATCTTCAACTTCGTCTTCCTTTACCTCTGCTGCCCCTGTGCAGATATTGTAGGCATGTTCCGCCACATCCAACTGACAGTTTTAAAACTGTGCTGCTTTTTGATCTAGTCGTTCTACTTTTAGACATTCTTTTCTTTTTCTTTTTTTTTGGGGGGGGTGAGGGGAGAGAAGGGCAGGGTCTCAGTATGTGTTGTCTTGGCTGTCCTGAAACTCACAGTATGGACCAGCCTGGCTTCAAACTCAGAGAGATGGGCCTGCTTCTGCCTCTGAGCGCTGGGATTAAAGGTGTGTGTCATTGCCTGGCTGAATGTGTTTTCTTAAGTGTCATCTTCAAATATGTGAATTACTAGCAATCACATTGACAGCATTGGAAGTCAGATTACTTTATTTTGTATTAAGTTGTTTTCCCAGTAAAATAACCACATTCAGTCAAGGTCTGAAGACATGACTAGAACATAACATGATGTCCTGTTTTTTGATACCAGCACTGTGGAGGTACCGTTTTTTGAGCTAGGAGACCCACAATGTACTGCAAAGCTATTGAGGCCAGTAGGCTTCCTGTGAACCATCATCACAGCCTAATGGCAGTTCCATCAGGGACGGTCAGTGTATATGAAGGTAGTCCTATGAGATAATGCCACCTAGCCTACTAATAGCCATTTTAGTGTGTATAAGTACACTCTGTGATGTCCCAACAGTGACAGAAGTGCCTTCACTCTCTTAGAGCATATTACCTCATGAAACATGTTGAGAAATCCTTGAATTGTATTATAGCCTAACGAGAGTCCTGAGAACATTTTGTCATCCCCAATGGAAGTTTTCTGTTCCCCCTTTATCACTATCTCAGAACTCTGAATCCAGAGGTCCAGGTGGGGAAAGAAAAAGTGTATAGTGATGAAGCCAGCCATCAGCCTCCACGACACGCCCCACCCCGCCTCTAGGCTGAGTTAACCCTCTGCATTATGTGATCCTCTGAAGGAGCTTTGCTCTTTGGTGTTGGCAAGCCTCTGCCCTGTACACTTGATGGGTTCTCTTTTATTCTCAGTCCCTAAATTCTTAGGGCACTCTGTGTCCTCCCTGTCATCTGAGGTCAAATGGAAAAGCTTTTTGTGGTTAACTTGGCCACAGTAAGTCCTTTGGTATTTAGAATTTCAGAAGGAGTTGGCTTTTTTAAAATTAGTTCTCCAAGAGTTGAGCACTAACCCAAATAAGCTTCATATAAAGGGGGAAAAAAGCAGATAAGTCTTGCTTTTTTGGACACCATATTGAATCCTGGTTTTCCCACTAGCAGTGACCTGGGACAAGCTGACTTACTATGTTAGAGACTGCCTCCTCACGTAGGAGTTCAGCTCCTCCTTGCCTCTCTTCGCAGGGCTGTTTTCCATTTACCCAAGAGACCTGTCCCAGTTGGGTCAGTTATGGTCTTTGTAACGGCCTGCTTCTCCCACCTTGCTTCTGACAGTTTCCTTACGCTGCCCCTCCTCCCCAAGAACCTGTGAAGACCCTGAGAAGCCTGATCAACATCCGGAAGGACACGCTGAGGCTTGTCAAGTAAGTTCCCGAGGGCTCAGGCCAGGTCCCAGGTGCCCTTCTGCTTGCAGGGAACAGATACTCTGGGGGAGTCAAAGAGCAGCTTCTGCCAGGTCCACAGCCTCCTGCCTGAGTCTAAAGGATGCCAGCCACCAGGCGCTGCTGGGGCACCAGCCCTAACATGAGGCCTTGCCATGCTTGTGCCATTTGAAATGTGGGCACTGTTCTGTACAGAAAGAACTTTCACCTGACCCAGCATTGTAAATATTTTCTCTATTCTGTGGGTCTCAAACAAAGGAAAAAAAGAGCTGTCATTAAAGGAATAGGTGAAGTTTGCAGATACCCTAACAAGCTCTGTAGTAATGAGATGTTTGAATTAGGTGTATAAAATCCTATTTTAAGTTGGCTGTGCTGGTGTACACCCATCATGTTAGCAGTCAGGAGGTGGAGGCGGGAGAACAATGTTTGAGGCCAGCCTGGGCTTTACTGCAGGACACTGTGGGGGAGGGGCTGGGCATCGACAAGCTAAGTGGACCAGCTATGCAGCTGGACGTATGTAGGAGTGCAGCTGGCTGTCAGAGAGTTTGGATCAAAATTCAGGGGAGTATGTGAAAAAACAAAGGACTAAAAAGGCCAAGTGAGTACTCCCTCAGGGAGTTAGGCAGGAAAGACAGCCAACCAAGCTTACTCTGTGTGAAGCTGTAAATAGTGTTTATGACATCACAGCAACATAGACTGTAGGTGCTGTGCTAATAGGGCTGTGATTTCCCTACAGTGTGGGGTGGCAGAGCTCTTCCAGGGTCAGAGTGAGGAAGGAGACAAACCATGTCTATAACAGGAAGTCAGAAGACGGGGCCTAAGGCTGGCAAATAAGACTCGATAACTGGGCGTGCTGTTTAGGAATGAGGTCCATGCTGTGTGTGTCCAGAAGAACTTTCAGTGTTGTGGAGGAAAGGGAAGCGGGATGGCTTGCTGATCCCCAACAAGGCTCGTGGGGACTCAGGCGTGGCTAATAACCCTGGTTGAAGTAAAAAGTAACAAAGTTCTGGCATAGGCCATTTATGCACCACAGATGGCAGGACTAATGTAAATGATCTAATGTCCCAGACTGACAACACTGCCATAGTCACAGGAAAGACACAAACATGCTAATGACACACAGCCAAGTATATAATGCTGTTCTGGGGCTTAAAGAAAAGTAAGGGTGGTTTGTTTTGTTTTCTGAGACAAGGTTCAGAAAATGTGTAACCCTGGCTGTCCTGGAACTCACTCTGTAGTAGTGCGGGCTGACCTTGAACTCAGAGATCCTACTGCCTCTGCCTCTTTTTTTTTGTTTGTTTGTTTGCTTGTTTGTTTATTTGTAGATTTTCTCTGTGTAACAGCTCTCGTTGTCCTGGAACTTACTATGTAGACCAGGCTGGCTTTATACTGAGATCTGCCTGTCTCTGCCTCCCAAGTGCTGGGATTAAAGGCGTGCACCACAACTGCTTGGCATATTCTTATTTATTTATTTTGGTGTTTTGCCTGAATGTCTGTCTGTGTGAGGGTGCCAGGTCCCCTAGAACTAGAGATTCTGACAGTTGTGAGCTACCATGTGGGTACTGGGAATTGAACCTAGGCCCTCTTGAAGAGTAGCCAGTGCTCTTAGCCACTGAGCCATCTCTCCAGCCCAAAAAGAGTGTCTTAAAATTCTGATCCATGTTGGGCAGTGGTGACACATGCTTTTAATGCCAGCACTCTGGAGGCAGAGCAGGCCAAGCTCAGGCCAGCCTGGTCTACAGGCCAAGTTCCATACACAGAGAAACAGTCTCGAAAAAATAAAAACAGAAAACAAAATAACAATAAAAAATCCTGATCCACTGACCCCACAGAGAGGATTGTGATTGTGGGGGGTTGTGATTTCTCAGATGTGCTGAGGAGGTGAAGAGCCATGGAGAAGAGGCGGGCAAGGCCAAGGTCTACTACAATGTCGAGTTCACCTTTGACACAGATGCCCGGGTAGCCATCACCATCTACTATCAGGCCACTGAGGAATTCCAAAATGGGATTGCCAGGTAAGATAGCACAGCATGTAAGCTACTTGCTTCCTAGCCTTCATGCCTACCCAGCAAGGAAAACATTTTTTCTCTACAATTGGGCAGGATCTGGACCTTGAATTTAGTTTTCTTTTCCAATCCTTACTCTCTATTTTAGCTAGCTCCCTTCCTGTGGATGTATGGATTAAATATATGAGCTCGGTAACAGTACCAGGCTAGAGCAAAAAGAAAAAGGTCTTTCTTTCCTGAGTTAATGCTGTTGGAAACTGAGAACAGGCAAGAGACAGTGGGAATTGTCAGACTGTCTGGGTCAATTCTAACTTTAGCTCTGCTTCACACTGATCCCGCAGCTACATTCCGAAAGACAACAGCCTGCAGTCAGAGACCGTGCACTACAAGCGAGGAGTATGCCAGCAGTTCTGCCTGCCCTCCCACACTGTGGACCCCTCAGAGTGGGCAGAGGAGGAGGTGAGCCGCCTCACGTAGTTAGGACTCCTTCCAGCAGCAGGGACTCTGTCCAGAGGCTGGAATGCCATGCTCTGCTGTTAAGTATGGTGGCCTCTTCATGCCCTTCAAAGGTCTACTTAGTTCACATAAGGATATACCTATCCTGGGCTAAAGAGATGGCTCAGAGGTTAAGAGCACTGACTGCTCTTCCAGAGGTCTTGATGGCGGTTCAGAACCATCTAGAATGAGATCCGGTGGCATACATGCAATCAGAACACTGTGTATATATAAGTAAATCTTTTTAAAAAGATGTATCTGTCCTTGTTCATTTTTCTATCCCAAAGTAGCCTGTTAGCTGGGGACATTGTGAGAAAGCCATGCTTCAAGAAAAAAGAGGCTGCATCTGAATGTGGGTGACAGTTAGGAGGCCTGGGCAGTCTATGGGACCTCTAACATAGTGCATAAATGAACTTTGGGAGCCCATTTCCTATGGAGCCCAGATACACAGAGAAGGGCCTAGGCCCTCCCCGAAATGATGTGACAGACTTTGATGATCCCCCATGGAAGGCCTCACCATCCTTGAGGAGTGGGTGGGAGTTGGTAGAGGGCATGGGAGGGAGAAGGAGGGGGACTGATATGTAAAATAAGATTGTTTCTAAATAAATTTTTAAAAAAGTAAAAGGAGCTACAGAAAGGTTAAGGGCCTTTAACTCAGTGAGGTTTGGTTTTGTTTCCTAAGGAAATAGATGGCTGCCAGCTAAGCAGGCCTGGGCAGCTGCAGGTTTGATGGGTGGGGTGCAGAGATGAGGACAGTGCATCTGAGAAGCAACCCCCTTCCCCGTGAGCACCCAAATGTGGCTCCTTCTGTGTCCCCTCCCCCAGTGAGCACCCAAACGTGGCTCCTTCTGTGTCCCCTCCCCCAGTGAGCACCCAAACGTGGCTCCTTCTGTGTTTGCTTGTCTTTCCTGCAGCTTGGCTTTGATCTGGACCGGGAGGTTTACCCTCTGGTGGTCCACGCCGTGGTGGATGAAGGGGATGGTAAGAGGGCTCTGTCTTCTTTCTGTGTCCACTCCCTTGCTGTAGTGCCATCCCAGCAGAAGCTGTGGCCATAGCCACACGGCTCTGTGGGCCTCAGACCTGTCCACTCTCTGTCCTTTTCCTCCCTATCCTGCTGTGAGGGGTGGGGTTTATAGTGGATTTATAGCCTGCCCTTCCTGGTGGTGTCCAGCGCCATTGGTCTACTTGACTGTGGGCTCTGTAGAAACACGAGTGTGGGACAGGGCCAGCGGTGCGATGCTTGGCCTTCTTCAAACATGTGTCTCTTTCTTTCAGAGTATTTTGGCCACTGCCATGTGCTTTTGGGCACGTTTGAGAAGGTGAGTACCTTCATGATATGTGTTTGTCTTTCTCCTGAGGCCCCTCTGCTGAAACAGTGTCACGTTGGGGCTGTGCTGGGGAAGTTTCAGCATTGACCCCCCCCACTGCCATGATCTTCAGTGTCCTTTTCATCAAATGAGTGGCTTAGCTGATCCCTGCTCCACTGCCATGACCTTCAGTGTCCTTTTCATCAAATGAGTGGCTTAGCTGATCCCTGCTCCACTCCTGCCATATTCCAAGCCTGTAGTTCCTCTCTGTGAAGAGCCAGTGTCTTAGTTGGGGCTTCTGTTGCTGTGAAGAGACGCCATGACCACGGCGACCCTTATAAGGGAAACATTCAGTTGGGGTGACTCGCTCACAGCTCAGAGTTCAGTCCATTATCGTCATGATGGGGAGCAGGGCAGCGCGCAGGCAGACGCGGTGCTGCAGGAGTGGCTGAGAGTCCCACATCTTGTAGGCGGCAGGAAGTCAACTGAGACACTGGGCAGTATCCTGAGCATAGGAAACTCAAAGCCCACCCCACAGTGACACACTTCCTCCAACAAAGCCATGCCCCCCAATAGAGCCACTCCCTATGAGATTATGGGGGACAATTGCATTCAAACCACCACACCCAAGAACATGCAGTAAGGAAGGACCACGAGAATACAAGTGCCTTCTGCCCTCCTCCTGGTTGTGACACCTGCTTCTGTTCCAGCACACGGACGGGACCTTCTGTGCTAAGCCCCTCAAGCAGAAGCAAGTGGTGAGTGTTTGAAGGCCAGAGACTCATCGCTCACCCTCTCCTTCCCCTTTCTCATGTTCTCTTTTAACTGTTACAACCACAGACTCCTGTTCCCTCCTCTCTCCTCCCTCTCTGTCTCTGTCTTCCTTTCTTTTTTCTTACCTTCTTTCCTTCTTTCTTTCTATGAAAGATGATTTTGGAAGAGGAGCACCTTTGTTAGGAACCACTTGGGTGGCCTCAAAGAAACACTGACTTTTAGCGCCTTTGTTGTTTTGGAATTGTTGGTGCCTCCCAGGGCACAGTTATCTTGAGAAGTGAAAGAATAAGATTTGTCTCCTGACATTAGGGTGAAGGAGAATTCTTTCTACTTAAAATGCCATGATGAGAAACATTTCAAACAGAAGTATAAAGTATTGGCTCTAATTCAGAGCTAATTAGAGCCCTTGGCATAATTTATCTTAGCATTCCTTTTCTGAAATTCAGCTTCCTGGACATCTGCCCTCTTCAGGAATGGTCAGCAAGATTTCCACGTCTGTTGGAAGGCCTAGCCCCTGCCATGTGCCAACATTTTGTACTTTTGCAACAGTAGGAAGAAATGTCATGGAAGTTAGGGACAAGTGCAGCCAGTGGCATTGGCAAAGAGGGTAGGAGACGCCATGTAGTAGCTTGTGCCTATAATTTCAGCATGAGGGAGGGAGAGGCTCGAGGATTATTTGAAGTTGTATGCCAGTCTCAGCTACAGTAAGTTCTAGGCCAACCTGAGCTATATAACACCCTATCTCAACAAAAGGGGGTAAAAAAAGGATGGTTTGGGGGGAAAAAAAACAAAAACAGGTGATCAAGCCAGGTGTGCTGGTCTAGACCTTTAATCCTGGCACTTGGGAGGCAGAGGCAGGAGGATCTCTGTGAGTTCGAGACCAGCTTAGTCCACATGTAGAGATCCAGAATAGCCAAGACTACAGAGAGGCAGACCCTCCAAAGGCAAGTGGGGAATCATGTAGAGGATAGCAGGAGAGGGATTGGAGGCGAGCTTGACCTTGGTTGATAGACAAAGAAAGGCCTCTCTCCAGAAGGATGATAGAGTTCTAAAATCCTAAAGTATTCATTTTATGTTTACGTGCTCGCCTCTCTTAATGGAATTGATACTAATTCCTTAGTGTGAATTAGTTGATTTGTGTCCTTTCAATGTAATTGCTTTGTTAAAACAAGTTTTAAGAGAGGCAGAAAAAGCCACAAGCCCTGAGTGCTTGGTACTACCTGTGTAGGCCGGCCCAGTCTCGGTGAATTGCCTCATGGTAAAAGCCTGGCTGTTTAAAAGGCTACAGTTTCTACAGAAAAGTGTTTTCTATATTTCCCTGTTTCTAGATTTGTATTAGCAACAGACTGTCAACATCCATAGTTTGGTAGGAGATTAGAGCTAGGCTAGGTTTGTGGGGGCAGAGGTTGAGGCATCAGGGAGGAGTGGAGTTTTAAAGAGAAGGGGAAAGCCACCTTGGGCAGTAGTAATGCCCAGGGTCACTGGGTGGATTGGGCACAGATAATTAAGGTTTTAAGAGGGTTCAACAGGTGAAGGCTCTGATGATCTGAGTTTGATTTCTGAGCCTGTGGTGGAAAGGAGAGAAACAATTCTTGAAAGCTGTCCACTGAACCTCTGCATGCATTCTCTGTGACATGCCTGTACCCATACTCACATACATAAAATAATAATATAAAAGTTTAAAAAGAAATGGGAGGACTGGGGCTGGAGAGGATGCTCAGTGGTTAGAATCACTTGCTGCTCTCTCAAAGGGCCCTGTTCAGTTCCCAGCATCCACACCAGGTAACTCACAACCGCCTATTACTGCAGCTCCAGGGAGTCTGACACCTTTGGGGGCACCTGCACATATGTACACTCAAGTACACACAGACACAACACAAATAAATTATAAAACAGAAAACAAAGGTGTGAGTGTGGCTCCACGGGTATGCACTGTTGGTGTCTCTTCCTGGGCCCTGAGGTCCTGCATCTCCCTGAAAGATAAAGATCTTTCCTTCTTGAGGTGGAGTCTGGCTATGGAGCCCCAGCTGACCTGGTACTTGCTGTGTAGTCCAGGCTGGCCTCACATTCATAACAGTCCTTCTGCCTCAGCTTCCCAAGTGCTGGGACTACAGGAATATGCTCCCACACCTGTCTTACATCTTCCCCTTTCCCTCTTCCTCTTTTTCTTTGCTCACTGTTTTATCTTCCTTTTTGTTCATGTTCATGCATCCCAGACTGGCCTCAAACTAAGTGGGGAGCTAAGGGTGACACTGAGCTTCTGTTCTCTAGCCTCTCCCTCTCCACTGCTGGGATTATAGGCATGCACAGCCACACCCAGTCTGTGTGATACAGGTTTGCACAGCCACACCCAGTCTGTGTGATACAGGCATGCACAGCCACACCCAGTCTGTGTGTTGCTAGAGCTTCAAGCATTCTAGGCAAAACTCACAACTGAGCCACCCTTCAGCCCGTCTCTACCATTATTTTTATAGTACTTAAGCTGAAGTTTTCTTACACAATGAATGCTACACTTTGACATCTACCCTTCCGTCCTCTTTTGATTGTGTGCTATTTGTAACTGTCTGCAGTAGTGAGCTGCAATACAATACTGTCAGCTTGTAAAATTTTATGTTCCTTGTTGGATATACTAGTGGGTAAGCTAAACATTTGATTTTCTTTCCCCTCTCAAATGCAAGCATAAGTAAATAAAAACATCCTTTATCTATGTGGGCCCCTGAGTGTTGTCGTGGAGACTCAGTAGTCCTGGGTTACCATGGGGAAAGGCAGGGAGTCCGCTCTTGTCTCTCAGTAGTAAGCCTGCTCTTGGACTCCACTGTTTTCTATTCAGGTAGATGGGGTCAGCTACCTTCTTCAGGAGATCTATGGGATCGAAAACAAGTATAACACACAGGATTCTAAGGTGAGTTTTGTTAAATTTCAGGATTTGCTCTTCCCTCAGGCAAAGTGAGGATCTGAGCTCTAGCTAGGGCTGAGGATCTAGTGCCAGCCAGGTCCTAGAAGGCTCTCATTTTAGTTTCTCAGTTTATGCCACTTTGGAAATAAACAAAATAGGCTGCTTTGGATCTGCCTTCTGCTCTGGAGCTCAGTTGAGTTCTGCTTTCCTGGGGCAGTTGGGGGGGGGGTCCTTGCATTTTTCCCTTCCCCTTCATCTGTGTTCTCCTGGGTCCGTTCTGCTCAGACCTGCAGAGGAATAATTGGCTCAGGGAGTTAGTCCAGTCTCCCGACTTCAGGCATGCAGTTCCTCGAGGCAGGGGACCAAGTATCAAAAGCACGGCACAGGGCTGGAGAGATGGCTCCTCCTGGAGAGGACTCAGTTCACCCCCAGCACCCTTGTGGCAGGCAGTTCATGACTGTCTGACTCCAGCTCCGGGGGATCCCACACTCTTCTGGCTTCTGCAAAGCACATACAACAAAAACTAATTTTTAAAAAAGCACTGCATAAACTAGAGTTCAGTGTCAATGTAGATCCTGTCCTGAGTGTTGGTCTGCTCCTCAGCCAAGCTTCCTTGTAAATAAATTGGGGTGGGGGTTGGAAGGCTTCGTGTCATTAGCCGAATCTCTTTCTGGCCAGGTGGCTGAGGATGAAGTGAGTGACAACAGTGCCGAGTGTGTGGTGTGTCTCTCCGATGTCCGAGATACCTTGATCCTGCCCTGCCGTCACCTCTGCCTCTGTAACACCTGTGCAGACACCTTGCGCTACCAGGCCAACAACTGCCCCATCTGCAGACTGCGTAAGTCCTGGAGTAGCAGGACAGCGAGGGCTGGGGAGGTGGACCCAAGACATCAGAACTTAGTTGCTGGGTGCAGCAGATGGGTGGATGCTGAAGGGAGCAGGGTTTCTGTTTGGGCTCCTGCTCATCCTTAATCCTGAAACAGGATGTCCTGATGGCCTGTTTTCTTCTTCACAGCTTTCCGGGCACTGCTTCAGATCCGAGCCATGAGGAAGAAACTGGGCCCTTTGTCTCCAACCAGCTTTAACCCCATCATCTCATCCCAGACATCAGACTCTGAAGAGCATTCAGTAAGCTGGGCTTGGTGGCATGGCCTCTCAGAAACAGATACTCTCTCTTGTGTCCTCCATATTTTTCTGTGGGTTTTGTTTTTGAGGCAGGGTTTGGCTGTGTGATGGTAGCTGACTTGGAACTTGCTATGTAGACCAGAAGATCTCACACTCCTAGTGATCTTCCTGCTTCTTGCTCCCAAGCACAAGGGTTACGAGTGGGAGCTAGCTAGCACACCAATTTTGTTCTGGTATTACATCAAAAAATTAAACCAGAGCATGCTAAAGAACTTTTTATTTTAGACTGTCTGGTATGCTGTTGTAGTGAAACATGCTAACAGTGGACCTGGAGAAGTGACCCTGCAGTAAAGAGCCCTGACTGCTCTTGCAGAAGACCTGGGTTCAGTTGCCAGCACCACATGACAGCTCATGACTGTAACTCCAGTTCCAGGGGATCTGACACCCTTTTCTGCCTTCCAAAGGTGCCAGGGATACACATGGTGCACAGACATATATTAAGGCAACACTCATACAAAAGAAATAATATATCTTGGTATTTTCTTTTTCTTTTTCTTGTTTTTTGTTTTTGTTTTTGTTTTTTTTGAGACAGGGTTTCTCTGCAAAGCTCTGGCTGTCCTGGAACTCTCTCTGTAGACCAGGTGCTAGAATTAAAAGTGTGCACCGCCACCACCCAGCCCAAAACCAAATAAATCTTTTTTTTTTTTTTGAGACAGAGTTTCTCTGTGTAGCCTAGTAGACCAGGCTGACCTCAAACTCACAGAGATCTGCCTGCCTCTGTCTCCCAAGTGCTGGGATTAAAGACCACCCCCCCCCCAGCTAACACTAAATAAATCTTAAACAGCTTACTAATACTGCACCTGAACGCTTGCATTCTGATCGCTGAAAGCTCCTTTGCCTCCTCTGGAACTCGAGTCCAGTTGATGCTTATTTCCCAGGATCCATCTGTGGAGGTTCACTCTGGTGGGAATCCAACTCTGGAACTCCCCAAGCAGAGACAGGAGTGACTGGTTTGGATCTGAATCATTTTTCCTGTCTTTCCTCGAATCCTGGAAGACAGCTGCTGCCATTTCTCATCCTTTTTCAGGGCATCAGGGCTTGGAAGCCAAGCAGATAATTGACCTCAGTGTCACAGTGTAAGGAGGCTATCAGCGTTCACTTGGAAGCTGTGCGGGTGTGAAACAGTGGAGAATGGGGGGGGTGGCTCAGGGAGAGAGGGCAAACCCAGCACACGAAAGGCCTGGGGACCAGTCACCAGTGCTGTACAGAACCCCACCCCCAAGGAGCAACTGCATGTTTTGTCTTGCCTTGACTAACCCAGTGGTGGGAGGAACTTGTCATTCAGTTAACAGTATGGGGGAAACTGGTTACTTACTTATAAGAGAGGAGGACATTTTAGCATTTTAAATTACATTTATTTATATATTTACTTAAGGGGGGAGGAGGAGGACGTATGTGGTGGGGGAGAATTGTGGGGATTGATTCTCTCCTTGTATCCTGTGGGTCTTGAAGATCAAACTCAAGTCGTCAGACTGAGTGGCAATCACCTTTACTTGCTGAGCCATTTCTGCAGCCCCATCTTACCAACTTAACCCTTATAAGATAGATTCTAGATGGAATAATTAGTTAGCTATTAAAAGCAGACACATCGGTGCATGGCTTTAATCCCAGCACTCGGGGAGGCAGAGACAAGCAGAACTCCGTGAGTTCAAGGCCAGCCTGATCTACATATCAGTTCCTGGATAGCCAGAGCTACACAGAGAGAGCTTATCTCAAAAAACCAAAGAACCCAACAAACAAACCAAGTAAAGCATTAAAAACCCTGAATAAACTCTCCATGATTATTCAGCTGAATATGGATCACACAATACCCCAGCAATAAACACTACAAAAAAGTAGGGGTGCTGGGGTAAGGGGTAAGGTGGTTCGGGTGGTAAAGTATTTGCTGCACAAGTTTGAGGACCTGAGTTCGGATTTTCTCACCCACATTAAAAGCTGGGTATAGCAGTGAAGCCCATAATCTCACCACGGAAGAGTCAGGGACAGGTGGGGCCACTGGCACTGGCTAGCCAACCATCCTAGACTCCTAGACACTTAACATCAGCCTCTGGCCTCCATGTGTACACGTGCACAAAGAAGTGTGTACACACGTGTGCACACACAAAACCACAGGGGTAGATTTAGCCAAGAGGCTGAGAGGGAGAATGGCAAGTTCAAGACCAACCTAGACTATGTAGTTCATAAGTGCCAGAGCAGCCAGGGCTACACAGCCAGATCCTGTCTCAAACACACACACACACACACACACACACACACACACACACACACACACACACCGTGCACGCCTTTAATCCCAGCACTCAGGAGGCAAAGGCAGGCGGATCTCTGTGAGTTCCAAACCAGCCTGGTCTACAAGAGCTAGTTCCAGGACAGCCTCCAGAGCCACAGAGAAACCCTGTCTCGAACAACCAAAGAAAGAAAGAGAGAGAGAGAGAGAGAGAGAGAGAGAGAGAGAGAGAGAGAGAGAGAGAGAGAGAGAGAGAGAGAATGGCCACCAACAAAACCTAAGCCCAGCATGATGGCACACATCAGTAACCTCAGCACTCGGAACTGAAGCCCAAGGATCATGAACCAAAGACAAACAGGTTAATTACATTGTGAATTCCAGACAGCCCTGGCCTACATGGCTACCTCAGACACAACAACTATCACTGCCCAAATTCTTTTAAATAAGTGATTTTTTTAAAGAGGTGTTGGTCGATGGTAGAACACTTGCCTAGAATGTGTAAGGCCCTGGGTTCATCTCTAGCACTGCAAGAAATAAGAATTCAGAGGCTGGAAAGATGAACCAGCCATTTCGAGCAGGTATTGCTCTTGGCAGATAATCCCCTACCACCTACAGCTGCAGGAGAATCCAGTGCCATCTTCTGGCCTCTTCAGTCACCAGCAGTCACCTGCACATGCCCAACACCAGCACACAGAGAAAGAAGTACTGGAGAGACAGCTCTGCAGTTAAAAGCACTTCCTGCAGCACCTTTAAGCCTAGCATTCAGGAGGCAGAGGCAGGTAGACCTATGAGTTCAAGGCCAACCTGATCTACAGAGCAAATTCCAAGACAACCAGGGCTACACAGAGGAACCCCATCTCAAAAAACCAAACAAACAAAACAGCAACAACAAAAGAACCTGGGCTTGGTTCCCAGTAACTTCATAGCAGCATACAGCTGTCTGTAACTCCAGATCCAGGGAATTCAATATCCTCTTCTGGCCTCTGTGGGCACTACACCTATGTAGTGGACATACGTATATGCAGGGAATACTCACACACATCAACAAATTTTTTTATTTAAACAAAATAAAAGTTGAAAACTTCAGATTCTAAAAGGTAACCAAAGTTTAAAAGCAAACAGAATTTTGAAAGAAAAAGAAACTTTAACAGCACACATGTCAGAAGAAGAGTAATGTCTTCGCTGTGGCCCATAAGAATAACACAGTAACTGAAGGCGGTAGAGTAGGTTCCTACATAAACACAAGGTTCTCATCAGAGGAAGTACAGCCAGTTAATGAGGGGCCACTTTTAGAATGGCCAGCTGGGCCACCTAGTGAGGAGAGCAACGGTCGAGGACACAGCTCAATCTGCCATTAGTACCACACGAAGCCCCGACTTCAGTCCTCAGGGCCACAAAGAACAAAAAGGTTCAGCTACATTAAAAACCACTGCCACACAAATAAAACAAGATGTCATTTTTCATCTTCCAAATTAAAAAAAAAAGTTCTAGATACTCCATTCCAGGGACTTCCCTCCCCCCCCCCCGAAAACCCACCTAAAAACAGTAGAATATTCCATATTGCTTGTTGGGAGGGTGACTAGATAAGCCCTTGAGGAAACAAAACAGTTATCTACATAAAGAGCCTGAGAAACATTTATGGAGCTAAGAGGTGGCTCAGTGAATAGGAGTGCTTACTGTGAAAAGCAAGAGGACTTAAATGCAAATCTTCAGCACCCAGACAAAAGCCTCGCATGGGTTCATGTGCACAGGTCCAACTCTAGAATAGCGGGGCCGACACAGGTGGGTCCCTAGAGACCACTGTCCAGACAACCTATCCAAAACGGTGAGCTGCAGGCCGGAAAGAGACAACGACATCTGGCATCCTCCTCCAGCCTCTGCATGTGGTTCAGGGCACACACACACACACACACACACACACACACACACACACACACACACACACAGTGTACATACTACACAAACAGAAAAAATTAGTTGCGCTCTTCAGAAAAAGGAAAAACATTCCCACATGGTCACCTAAGTACTGAGGAAGTGACCAGAGACAAGGAGTGTCTCCTGGTGGCACGGAGGATGGAACCTGAGACCTCACAAGTGCCAGGCAAGAATCCTACCACTGAGCCACCCCTCAGCCTGAAAAAGGACTTGTGTGCAAGGATGTTCACTGGCATGCTGCTGCACTAGGACGTGTTAAACACAGCTGCACTCAGCACTGGCAGTCAGGAAGCTTACAGTGTCTACATAGGGGATGAATCAGAGGCTTCCAGCTGCAGGTAAAGCTGGGAGTACTGATGTATGCCTTTAACCCCAGCCCTTGGGACATGGAGCTATGTGGTGATTTATTATTTATGATTTATTAAAGCTTGCCTGCCTGAGGATTCAGAAAGCAAAGCCAGCCCACAAGCTATAGAGGTCAGACAGTGGTGATACACACCTTTAATCCCGGCAGCCATACTAGCTAGCCAGGCAGTGGTGGCACATACCTTTAATCCCAGGACTCAGGAGACAGGCAGACAGATCTCTCTGAGTTCAAGGCCGCCCTGGCCTGCAGAAGAGTGAAGATTAACAGAGCTCATGCCTTTGATCCCAACACCTGGGATCATACACCTTTAATCCCAGCAGTAGGGAGGTAGAGATAGGAGGATATGGCTTGGCAGAGAAAAGATTATAAAAAGGAGGAGAACTTTTGCCTCTGAGGATTCGTGGAGACAGGATATCCATTTCAGCTTGGTAGAGGTAAGATCTACTGGCTTGGCTTGGGTGCTTTGCTTCTCTGATCTTCAGGCAAGTTTTAATCATAAATAATATATAATCATAAATAAAAGGACATAGTGAGCTTGGGGTTACACTGGCCTTCATGAAAACCTGTCTTAAAAAAGGAGCTGGGCCATGGTGGTGCATACCTTTAATCCCAGCAGAGGCAGGCAGATCTCTGAGGTTTAGACCACCCTGAATTTTGTAAAGCAAGTTCCAAGATAGGCAGGGCTCCACACAGAAGCCCTGTCTCAAAAAAAAAAAAGAAAAAGAAAAAGAAAAAAAGGGGGGGCATATTTATCTTTAATTAAATAAGCAGGATACAGACTTTTATTTTGCTTGTGTATATGTGTCTATCTGTGTGTGAATACACACATGTGAGTGCAAGGGCCCCCGGAGCCGGAGTTACAGGTGACTGAGCTACTGATGTGGGTTCTGGGATCTGAGCTCAGGCCCTCTGCAAGAGCAGCCAGTACCCTTTACTACTGAGCCGTCTCTCCAGCCCCCAGAACAGTCGTCTATAGATGAATCATACATCATAGACAAGAGATTAAAACAGAGAAATGTGCTGGATGCCACCAAGAGTTACTGTGGGTGATTGACTATTGGTACTTTTTTCATCTTTGATGCATTTTACAAATTTCCTACAGTGAGCATTTATTTATATTATCATCAGAAAAATAGACTTTGTGAAGAATCATTTAGGACCTGGGGCTCTTCACTTTACCTTCCTTATGTTATCTGAAGCTTTTCTTACCAGAGCCGAGGCCTAAAAGCAAAACTCTCCTTTTAATGTTCAGTAGGAGACATGATCACACCCCAATACAAAAGTACCTAATGTTTGGCCTGTCTCCGATTCTTGTAGTCATCAGAGAATATTCCACCAGGCTACGAAGTGGTGTCTCTCCTGGAGGCCCTCAATGGGCCCCTCACCCCATCCCCAGCTGTCCCTCCACTTCATGTTCTTGGAGATGGCCACCTCTCAGGAATGCTGCCATCATACGGCAGCGATGGCCACCTGCCCCCCATCCGGACGCTGTCCCCCCTTGACCGCCTGTCTGATTGCAGCAACCAAGGACTCAAACTCAAAAAGAGTCTGTCCAAGTAAGTAGTTGATGTCCACCAGTGTTACCCTGGGTTGTCTTTGAAAGCTTCAGAAACCATCGTTCCTTCCTCAGCATTGTGATAGTTGAACATTGTAGGTAAAACTCTCCTGATTCCCAGTCTGTTCACTCACAGAAGGCCTGAGAGGCATGCTTGCAGTGGTGAGAGAGGGGCAGTTTTCCCCAGAGAAAGAAAGAAAATGTCTGTGGGTACTTAGGGTCATGTGTTCTGTGCCAGGGTGTGGGTGGTGGTCAGGAAAGTGATATACAGGGAAGAGGACATGGAGTCATATAGACAGAATCCTTTGGGGGTCCTGGCTTAATCTGAAGCCAGAGGAACCAAATGACCCCATACCATGAGCATTTAAATCCATAGGACACAAGCATAACACAGTTTCTGTGGCAAAGGAGGATGTCTCACAGATCAAGGTGTATGGGGAGGGAAGTTGCCACTGTTTTGTTTTTTTTCCTCAAAGTTGAGGAGCTAGAGGAGAGGAGATGGGGCCAGCACTGATCTCCTGAGTAGACAGTGCATTGAGCTGCTTTTCCTCTGGGCTTTTTCAGATCTGTTTCCCAGAATTCTTCTGTGCTACATGAAGAGGAAGATGAGCGCTCTTGCAGTGAGTCTGAGACCCAGCTCTCTCAGAGACTGTCAACTCAGCATCCTGAAGAGGTAACTGGCTTTCTGCTCCCACCCTGGGTACTGGCACCAGGCATCTGCCTGCATGGCTCTGTGGTCCCCCAGCTTTTATCCGTTCACTAGACCTTCCAGCACCTTACAAGGTGGTAGCTGCAGAGGTTTCCCCAGTGTCTGCAGCCCGTGTGCCCCTGACCCTATCTTACAGATTGAGATGACTACAGAGAGGAAACCGTAAAGGGTCCTGCCCTTGCGGCACTGATGAGCTTGGAAGTGGGGTGATGGTGGAGTAGATGGCTGTGTGGATCAGCATGGCAGACAGGAAGGGAGCCCTGAAACTAGGACTGGAACGGCCATTTCAGCATTGGTTCTGGAGCAGAAACCCACAAAGTGAGAACGCTGTGTGGACATCTAAGAGGGTCTGACATGAGAGCAGTGGAAATGTGCTGGAGATGTGCGGGCCAAGACAGGGCAGCAGTGATGACTGGAACTTTCCACCTAGTACGTCCCTCTCACAGGCCTTATCTAGAACTTATACACCATGTTAGTCACGTACTATCCAGGGCAACAAGCTGGGTCCCAAAGGCGTTCAGAGATGGGAAGTGTTCCGTCCTCAGGATCTCAGGGATAACATTTGTACTCAAGCACCAGGCCTGTGTGGTTCACTCTTGCAGCCCAGTAAGTACTTCATGAATGAGTACATGGTGGGGTAGTTGCAACAGGGTCTTAGGTAGTTCAAGCTTGCCATGAATTCATTATCCTTGAATTCCTGGTCCTCCTGCCTCATCTCTCAAGTGCTTGGTAGGATTACAGGCTGCCTATAATTCCAGCACTGGAGGCTAAAGTAAGGGGTCACAAGTTTGAGGCCAGCCTGCTATTGAGGCTATCTCAAGAGAGAGGAGGCCGACAGAACTCAGAAGAAACCGTAAAGTATCATGCAGTATAATGTGCAGTTTCCTTTAGCGGAGGACATCAGAAAAACTTGTTATGTAGGGGTAGCATTTGGCTGAATCATGAAAGTTTTTAGACATAAGGAAGGGAGAGGAGCATTCAGAGGGAGGGTAGAGCAGGCTGAGGGATACTGAGAGCTCTGTCTTATAAGGCCCCTTATAGCCTCGTGGGGGGACCAGCCCGGGGACCAGAGAGCCGCCCTTGCACACGTCATCCACCCAGGATGGCAAGGCCGTGTGCAGGGCCTGCTGGGTGGAAAGCAGAGGTGGACATACTACGGAGGGTCCCATAGGAGTGAGGACCCTGCTGGTTTCCTGTTCTTTTCCTTCTAAGGATAAGCTAGCTGTTTGATGTCGTGTCCCGTCCCGTGCCCCCACCCCCAGAGTGACAGCTGCTGGGTGACCTGTGTCACTGGAGCCGCAGCCTTTGTAGGCCCACCAGATGCTGGGCCTCAGGCAGGAGGTGCTGACTCAGGTGTATGCTCTCCTGGGACAGAGTCACTGTAGGCGCTGGCTGAAAAGAGCACTGACAGAAGCCGGCAGCGCCTCTCCCGTCACTCTTGCCCACAAGAGAGGCCCTTGTCCTTCCTGGTGTCTGATTCCTATGTGTTGCTACCCAGCTCTGTTCTTACCCTTCTACCCATATGCTAGGCTCATGCTGGTTTCATGTCCCATTGTGTCCTTCACCCCCAGGGACGTGACATGACTCCAGAGAGTGAGAACCTCACCCTGTCATCTTCAGGGGCTGCTGACCAGTCGTCTTGCACAGGGACTCCGCTTTCCTCCACCATCTCCTCCCCAGAAGGTACCTGAAGGGCCAGGGAGAGGCTGCCTGCGCCTCCCTCGCCCGGTCCACAGCTCTGCTGTGACTTCCTTTGGGGACGGGAACAGCCAAGCTGGTGACCAAATAGGTCAGGGAGGGCTCTTGCTCACCTTCCTGCGTGATGAGGTTCCCTCTACAATAACAGCTGGGGCACAGCCTTGGTCCTTGATTTTCAGAGCAGTCTTGGAAGACCTTCAACTAAACCTTTTGCTGGAGAGGGCAATATGAGACTTTTTTTTCATAAGTTTTTTATTAACTTATTTTTTACATTCCAATCCCAGTTCCCCTCCCTCCTCTCCTCTGGCTCCCCACCTCCCCCTCCTCCCACCTGCTCTTCAGAGAGGGTGAGGCCTCCCCTAGGAGGTCGTCTAAGTCTGTCCCATCACCTCGTTGAGGCAGGACCAAGGCACCTGTCCACCCCACAGCCCTGTGTCTAGGCTGGGCTCTCCATATAGAACGGGCTCCACTATTCAGTCTGTGCATTAGAGTTAGAGCTTGGACACGCTACCAGTGGCCTCATGTATTGTCCCAGTCACACCATTGCCACCTATATTAAGGGAGTCTGGTTGAGTCTTATGCAGGTTCCCCGTTTGTCAGACCTGAGTCAGTGATCTCTCACTAGCTCGGGTCAGCTGATTCTGTGGGTTTCCCCATCACGGTCTTGACTCCTTTGTTCGTATTATCTCTCCTCCCTCACTTGAATTGTACTCCAGGAGCTTGGCTAGTACTCTATTGGTTAGTTGTGGATTTCTTTTTTTTTTTTTTGGTTTTTCGAGACAGGGTTTCTCTGTGTAGTTTTGGAGGCTGTCCTGGAACTCGCTCTGTAGACCAGGCTGGCCTCGAACTCACAGAGATCCGCCTGCCTCTGCCTCCCAAGTGCTGGGATTGAAGGCATGCGCCACCAACGCCCGGCTAGTTGTGGATTTCTGCATCTGCTTCTATTTCAGGAAGAGGGCTCTAGCTGCTCTGGGATTGTAGATTGCAGCTGGGTAGTGTGTGGCTTTTGTGCTCCTCCCTTTGTGGCCTAGTACAGTACAGGAAGTGCACATTGCTCCTTAGTAATCACGGTCCTGTCCCCCTCCCCTAACTTCTGTGTCCACAGACCCTGCTAGCAGCAGCCTGGCGCAGTCAGTCATGTCCATGGCATCCTCCCAGATCAGCACTGACACAGTGTCCTCCATGTCTGGCTCCTACATTGCCCCTGGCACAGAAGAAGAGGGAGAGGCCCTGCCCTCCCCGCTAGCTGCTAGCAGGGCTCCCTCAGAAGGAGAGGTAAGGGAAGTAGCCTTGATCTGCTTTGCTCTCGCTTCACACGAGTTCCAGGCAGCTTCAGGTGCCGTCCAGGTGCTGGCAGGGGTGCTGCAGGGAGCTGGCCCGCCCTTAGACCCTGTATGCCACAGACTGTGCTGAGGACGTGTTGGGCTTGGGTTTGCCGTCCTAAGAGCTTAACTGGGGGCCTGTGATGACCTCACCCTTGGGGTTTGTTGCTCTTTTACAGGGGACACCAGCGGAGTCCCCTGACAGCAATTTTGCTGGCCTTCCAGCTGGAGAACAGGACGCAGAGGTAACCTAGATGGCAGACAGCTGCACCCTTTCCCACAGTCAGTTTCTCTAACTGTTGGTGTTGGCTGGGAACGGCTATGGCAGAGGAATTGGGGAGAAGCCTTTCTGGGTAGCATGCCCACATCATTTAGAAGGGGAGTGGCGAGAGTAGCCTCGAACTCTGGCCTGGGACTCTTCCTGTTACCAGGACCCTGATTCTAGCGTCACCACAGAGAGGGAATCAAAAGGAGCTACCCATGCCAGACGACAGGCCTCAGGAGCCTACCCATGCCAGACGACAGGCCTCAGGAGCCTACCCATGCCAGATGACAGGCCTCAGGAGCCTACCCATGCCAGACCTGACAGGCCTCAGGAGCCTACCCATGCCAGACCTGACAGGCCTCAGGAGCCTACCCATGCCAGATGACAGGCCTCAGGAATGTGCCTGCTGTCATGCAGCCAGTCTGTTTACTGGGGCCAGTGGGTCTCAGGCGCTCCCCACAGGAGACACAGACGCCTGTCCCGAGTGAAATTTCTTCCTGCCTCTTATTTCCACACCCCGCGCAGAGGCAGACAGAATTACAACCGTGGGTGAAGTGACAGTGCTGAGTGTACTGCGCGCCCGTCCGTCCCCGTGCAGCCCAGGGCTCACTGTTGTTGACAGATCCTTTCAGGACATTTGGGTAGAAACTGGCCCCAAAGAGTTTTTGAAAGCTTCACGACCTCATGATCTGCTTTAGTATTTTGTCTCATTTGCTGACTTGAGACAGGGATTAACTATGTATACCCACTAAGAATTTAGGCTGGCCTAGAATTTGCTATGGTAGACCAAGATGGCTGTACAGGTTACACTGGCAGGTGACCTTCCTGCCTCTGTTTTCCAAGTCTGGGATTACAGACATGTGTCCATACCTGGCTTTGATTTGCTTTTTCATTAAACCTTATTTCTACTTTAGTGTCAGGTAAGCTATGATAAGGGTCTTTCTGACAGCCAGCCCAGTCGAAGCATATACCTGGAGTTGATCAAGCATCATCTGGCCATGGGAAGTATGTGTGAGGATGTAGACCATGGAAATCACTGCTACAGGGATGACTTGTCTTGTCTTTGCTGGGCTCCTCTGACTTCTCGGTGGACTCATGGGGCTTTCCTTCTGTCCTAGGGAAATGATATCACAGAGGAAGAGGATAGATCGCCTGTGCAAGAAGATGGTAAAAGACCTGGTCCTTGCTGTCTCACATTGCTTTGCTGGGTATTTGCTAAGGGTTAAAGAAAGGGGAACTACCATGACTTGGGGGCAGCACTCAGCTTTGTGACTGTGGGCTGGTTATCTTGATGGCATGTCAGGTCCTGGAACCCAGATCCATGGGATCTGGGGGGAATGCTGCTGAAGACACGGTACTTTTGTACCCACACCTGCCTCCTGTGGCAACTTGTTAGCTGAGCTGCCAGACTGCCCTGGCACCTCAAGTGGAGCAGAGTTTCTTCCGCAGGAGAGGCAGGGCGCTGGTAGCTGGTCTGCTTTTGCTGCAGTAGTGAACATCTGGGAGTGTGTGGCTGAGGAAGCAGGGGCGTCCCTGCCCGGCTCACCTAGGCAGCACTGTGGCCTTTGGTTTGGTCTTCAGTGAGGCTGGAGAAGGCCTGTCCTGCGGGGCAGGGAAGGAGGAAGCAGAGGGGTTAGAGAAGCCCCCCTGCCTGCCCCTCTGCTTCTGGGCGTGTGGGCCATGGCCTGGGTGCAGTTGCCCGGCAGACTCACTCTCGTTGCTTCTGCTTCAGTGCTGGCTGTTGCTCCAGGGGTGTCGGGTGCGTGTGGACTGAGCTCCCACTGGCAAGAGGCTCGAAGACAGGGTTCTCAAGACTGGCCTCTCTCACCCCTGCACATCTGCTCAGGGCTTGAAGCTTTACTGCCTCTGAAGATCACTTCAGAGCCCAAGCCAAAGTCACCCTGAGTGACGTCTCCCCAAAGAGCATTTTCTTCTAAGAAGCACAGGGTGGCCAGGTTGTTGCCACCTAGGTCTTCATGGAGGGTTTTCCACCTCTCCTTTCTCTGAGAAAGAAAGGGGGAACTGAAAGAAAAAAATCACTTCAAGTTTCCCTCGCTTTCCCACATGACTGCAGTCTTCTGGACCGTTACCTCAAAGTAACAACTTGAGTCTCCTGAGAGAGTAAAACCTCATTTTGTGAACCGTCATTCTGATACAACGTGCAAAGTTAGGGAACCAAGGCCGCAAGTTGTGTTTATGCATATGACCCTGTAGAGTCTCTGGTGCCTGAGAGCCACAGGCCTGAACAGGGTACTCATGGCCGGCTCCAGCTTCTGCTAGCCGTGGTGTCATCAGGCTGGCCTGTGTGCAGCTGTCCGCCACAGTGGGCTGTCTGACCTGTCTGGCCGCACCCTGCAGGGATCAGACTTACAGGGGAACAGGGACTCGAAAGGGGCCGCCTGAGGACCTGAGCCAGGGTGCTGCGAGGACCCGGACATGCCCACCACACAACTCGGCTTTTCTGCCCAGTCCTTACTCACTTGGTTTGTTGTCTTTTTTTTTTTTTTTTTGACACATGATTTGATTTTGTTTTTTTTCTTTTTGTCTCCATCCTTAAGACTTTTCTTTTAAGGACAGCAAAGTAGAGAAAACATAGCCAACCCTTGTCTAACTGCATTAACTCCGTTACAGGCCAGAGGACATGCGCATTTCTAGGCATGGAGTGTGACAATAACAATGACTTTGACATCGCAAGCGTGAAAGCACTGGACAATAAGCTGTGCTCTGAGGTCTGCTTACCCGGTGAGTGGCAGTCTGCTGAACATGAACTTGATGGGAGACATCCCTCTGCTCGTCCCTGCCCTCCTCATGGTGCACTGTGCTGCAGCTCTAGCTAGGAAGGCCAGGGAGGAAGCAAGGAGGCCCCAGGAAGCCTTGGGCTTTATACAGAGAGCAGCTCCGGCCCCGGCAGTATCCCGACAAGAAAAAAGTCAAAAATTCCCCGCCCCCACCTTACTGTTTGGTCAGCCCCTTCTAGCACAGTCTTAGAGACGCCTCGTCAGGTGAACTGACCTGTGTTCATCCTCGGGGAGTCTGAGCAGTCAGACACCTCCCCATGGAGGCCTTGGAAAGGAGGGCTGCACTTTTAGAATTGAAACCGTAACTCTTCAAGGGACATACGTTTGAGGATCACAAAGAAATCTAATCTAAAAGCATCCTGTAGGCCAATGAATAGCTCTCTGATCCAGGGAGTTTTAGGTCTCCAGTGATCACACATGCAAGCCTTGAATCCTAAATGAGAAGCCAGAGGGTAGGGATACTTAGTTCTCTGAGGCCCCAGCTTCTCAGCATGCCCCTATTTCTTTTCATGATTTCAAGCTGAATCTGCAAAGCAGCCATATTAATTATTCAAGGCCAGTCACTCTAGCACACGCCTATAATCCCAGACTTGGGAAACATTTCTGCAAGCCACAGATGAGGAGCTAAATAGCAAGACCTAGTCCCCCCACCCCTAAATAAAATAAAATTAAGCCAGGTAGCAGCAGTGCACACCTTTAACCCTAGGAGGAAGCAGGAGGTGGATCTCTGAGTTTGAGGCCAGCCTGGTCTACAGACCAGGTTCCAATACAACCAAGAGCTACAGAGACACCCTCTTGAAAACCAAAAATAAATCACAGTTGAGTGCTGACCTCAGTGTGCCCATTCTGCAGCATCACAACCCACTTCCTAAGAGTCTGGCTTGGGCCGGATGCTCCCTCCTGGCTTGAGCACAGGGCCGCCTCCCTGCACAGTGTGCTTGTAATTGCCCAGCTCCCCAGGGTCACCCAGTGAGGACCCGCTTCACCTTCAGAGCAGCCACTCCTGGGTCCAGTGCTTTGCTCGCTCAGCGAAGTAGCTGAAGGTGTTAAAGCCACAGAGCCTTCAGTGGCTGCCGCTGTCCTTCAGCCTGTGCCAGACATGGTCCCAGCAGGCCCTGGCCCCATGCAATCCTGCGGCAAGGGAAGCCAGTTGCTCAGGAGAAACTCGCTCTGGCCTTTCCAAGGGCACTTCGGTTATTCTGTTTAGTTTGTCCTGAAGACAGTGCCCAGGTCGTAGTCTTCAGTGAGACCTCAGAGACAGCATCAGATCACTTGCTTCTCCCGCACAGGCCCCTGGCACACTCCCTTCCCGCCCAAGCAAGGCGGAGGACGCTGATCCATATGGCCACCTCCTGCCCAGTTAACCTGGACTGGAGCTGCTGGAGACCAGGCACACTCACCCTGCCTTCCTGCTCCTGCCCAGTTAACCTGGGCTGGAGCTGCTGGAGACCAGGCACACTCACCCTGCCTTCCTGCTCCTGCCCAGTTAACCTGGGCTGGAGCTGCTGGAGACCAGGCACACTCACCCTGCCTTCCTGCTCCTGCCCAGTTAACCTGGGCTGGAGCTGCTGGAGACCAGGCACACTCACCCTGCCTTCCTGCTCCTGCCCAGTTAACCTGGGCTGGAGCTGCTGGAGACCAGGCACACTCACCCTGCCTTCCTGCTCCTGGCCTTGCTTCCATCCGTCCATTTGTGTCCCATGTCTTTATGCCAGTGTGGGCCTGTCTGTCTGGTTTGCTCATCTTTTAACTCATTTGTGTTCTCTGACTTGTGTGAGAGTTCATGTTCACCCTGTGCCAGCACTGTCCTGCCTCTGCTCAGCCCGACAGTAAGCTTACTGGTGTGTGTACTTGAAGGGCTCTCGCTTAGGGCTCTAGAAAAGCTTCCAGTTCCTAACTGGCAGGGGCCTGTGTTCAATACAGTAAAGACTTTAGAGGAAAGAATCTGTGGGAATAGATGCATTTCTGTTCGACAAAGACAGGCACGCTTCTGTGGCAAGGACTCTGGGATAGGCATCCTTGAGGATGGTGCCTGTGCCTAGCTTTGCCGGTGTCTCTGGTGACTTTCTGCTGGCCAGCCTCTCCTCAAGGGCTTCTACATTGAGCCCTGCTTTTGGTAGAGGGAGCTGCTGTCACTCTTGGAGCCCACGGTGCCATGGAGACCAAGCTTGTTCTTTCTGCTTCCTCCTCTCCTCTCCAAACCTCCCTCCCAACAACCTGCTTATCAATGCATCTTCATTTATGGGGGGGGTGCAGTATGGGGACAGAGGAGTCCAAAAAGTAAGCAGGCTTCCTTGTGGTAATGTCAAGAGCCAGCCCTTTTGAGATTAATTGGGGTTCTCGGTTTAGCCAGACATGGAATCAGTTGCCTGTGGGTCAGGAGAGAGAATGGGGTGTACACAGCACTTCCGTGTGTCTGTAGTCCAAGGGCTCTTGCAGATGTGTCCCCTCTGCAAAGCCAAGGCACCAGGGTGCTCTGAGCTGTCTCCTGGGTCAAAGCCAGGAGAGTCTGTTTGTGCTCACTCCTATCCCACCCCGAGAGCCACAGGCTAGCTTGCCCCTCGCTATCCTTGAGTGTTTTCCCATAGACCCCGCCCCTGCTTGAGTCTGTTTCCCTCTTCAAACCAGTGCCACCCCTCGTGGAGGGCACACTAAGGACACAGGAAGGCCAAGAGGGGCGGGGGGATCATTGCTGCCAGGAAAGCCACCCTTGCCAGGCTTGTGAGGACCTTAGAGGGCGCCTGGGCACTGCAGCTCTTCTCCCCTAAGAAACTTCCAGGCCTTCAAAGGCCTCAAGACAGAGGGTAGATCTCTGGTCCCTCGTGTGAGAGCCGGCACCTTCTGAAAGAGCTCCTGAAGGTTGAAAGGGGGATGTGGTAGGAACTCCAACTGTAAGTGTGGCTTCCAAGAATATTACATGGTGGCAGGAGTGTGATGCGGGGTGGTGAACACTCTCAGAGGGCTCTGGGTAATATATGTGATGGGAAAGGGAAAGGATAATGGCTTTTAGTGAGAATACAATTTTTACATGACTAACACAGGAGTAGGCCTATGCAGTGAAACCTAAAATTAATATACAGACCTGAAGTTCAATTTCCTCCTCCTCCTTCAAGCCTCTTGATGTAAAATTAAGATGTGGTCATACATACCTCTCATCCCAACACTCAGGAGGCAGAGGCAGGTGGATCTTCTATGGGTTCGAGGCCAGCCAGGTCTTCATCTAAAGTTCCAGGCCAGCGAGGGCTACATGAGATCCTGTCTTTTAAAAAGAAGCTTTGCGCCGGGCAGTGGTGGCCCACACCTTTAATCCCAGCACTCGGGAGGCAGAGGCAGGCGGATCTCTGTGAGTTCGAGGCCAGCCTGGTCCACAAAGGGAGTTCCAGGACAGCCTCCAAAACAATACAGAGAAACCCTGTCTCGAAAAACCAAAAAAAAAAAAAAAAAAAAAAAAAAAAGGATGCTTTGGGAATGTTTGCAGTAATGGGCTCTGAGGGGGAAATGACCCTTAAATTTAATCAACACATTAGTAGGGACAAGAGAGCAACACCTCTGGAGGTCTGTCCCTCCCTTCACTTCTGACTCCCCAAAAGGAAACCAAATGGAAAAGCACCATTGTCCCTCCCCCTGGAGGGAGTTCAAGTCTCCAAGATCTACTTTCTTGCCAGAAGGCCTGGATTCAGCCAGATGTGGTGGCACACTCATTGGGGACATCGCTGTGGAATCCAGGCTGTCCTGAGTAGGCTGTGGAGAGGCAGCAGCAGCAGGGTCCTCCCAGGCAAAGGGTGCCCTTTTCTGTCTCTTGCCGTATCCCTTCACTGTGCACGGCCCCTCTGCACCTAGCCTGCTCTACAAGGAGCAGTCTGCAGCACTGACGGGCCTCCTGGGGTGGCAGAAGGCATCAGGACGTCTGAGAATTTGGTAGGACAGCCTCAGGCCCAGTGTCATGGGTGCAGTGACCATAGTGACAGTGGTGTGGCTGCTGCCGTTGTACTGTGTGTGCCTGTGTGTCTTCTCTCCTGTTTACCATGTGCTTTTGGTCTCTCCTACTGAACAGCCGCAGCTCCGGAGTCCTGCCCCATAGACATTGAGGAATAGGTATGACATCTACCAAATTATATAACTAAAGAAACCACTCATTTGATTTGGGGATCCTAACTGAGCATCCTTTTGCCTGGTACTCTTCCCTCTAAGCCGCCAAGCAGCAAAGAGCCCATGGGCAGGTGTGGTGTGAAAGCCCTCCTCCCCCTCCTTTCCTGGCTCTCCCCTGCGGTCAGGAGAGACTGCCACACCAGAGCACTTGTGAAGAATAAGCAGTTGGTAACTGCTTCATCTTAGCATGCATGCCATTAAAGGGCTTTATGTCTTGAGCTTGCTGAATCTGAGGCTGACAGGCCATTTGTAAGTTGGGCTCAGGACAACACTATAGAGTTAACTGACCTCACATACTGACAGAGCCCCATCCCCCACCCCACCCCAGAGACACACGCCCCTGTGAGCTCCAGGACACAAACATGCATATACCGTGTTTCCTGCAGAAGCTTGTCTAACAGTCCACGAGATGAACTATCTTTCCTCAACATGCCAAGTCTGGGAAGAGTAAGGCTCTGCTGTCACTGTGTAAAGAACACGCTAGCTCTTCTAGAGAGAATGGAACACAGAGCTCACTTGCCAGCTAGATGACAGCCAGAGGGACCCAGGGACCACATGAGTCCCCTGAACCAAGCTGGCAGGGCACTGATCACAGCTCATTTCTGAGCCAGGTGTACTGCTGGCATACTGCCATGACGTGGACTCATGCAGGTCTCACAGCAAATTAGTGACGGCCACACACACCTCATCCAACACATGAGGAAGCCAAGGCCCTAAGAAAGACGGCCTGGGAAGACCAGACACCGGTACCTATGAATTAGGGGCGAGGCCCAGGTTCAGTGAGGAAGCACAGGTGTTTGTAGGCTGCATCAGAGCACGGGGCAGAGAGGTGGCAGGAATGAGTTCCCACCCTCGGGCTGGGAGAGGTAAGTGCGATAAGTAGCGTCTTGGAACCACGGTGCTCAGATGAGGAAGAGATGAGAAGCAGAGGAAGGGCTCTGAGCTCCACTTTGTCCCACCCAAGGCTTCTCTTCCCTGGCCCTGCCATGTTGCCAGCCCCTCCCCACCCCCGGCTCCCACAGCAAACACAGAGGCTGTAGGTCACAAGTATGCTGTTTGTATGCCTTCCATGGAGGAAGCAGCTTGGCTCAGCCTCGTTATCATTGGCAAAGTCCAGAACCAAGTCCTTACATGCAGAATGGATGCTAGGTAAGTGTTGGACAAACACCTGCAGTGTCCGTCTGTCCATGGGTCACAGGAAACGACTAGTTAGGGAGGGACACACGGCAGCACCTACTCCTCTCTAAGAGCCCTCTCCTGAGTGGCTCGCACACTCAGGAGTTTCAAACCACACACATCCTGCAGGATTCTGTGTGGACAACTGTGCTGCCCTGCTGGAGACACCACGTAGTCTTGGTCTGAGGAATGGTTCCCATAGCCTGTGACTTTCTTTCTCCAGGTGCCTGGCAGCATGATGATAACATAGTCAACCGTCACAGTCCCCGGTGCCAGCACTCATCGTCTAGCAGCCTGGAGGACCCTGACGAGAACAGGCCTCGTGTATGGGACCCTTTGGCCGTCTGAGGGCACCTGCACCAGTGCCTGGGTCCCCTCCCGTCCTTGCATTCCATCCGTCACTGGACCGCAGCCCTTCTGGGCATCTTCAACAAGACTTGTGGACTCTATACTCACACGGATGAGGATGTGGAGTGCAGCCTCATCTCCTGTAGCCATGATCCTTACCCTCTCAGAAAGAACCGGAAGCCTTCCTCCTTGTGGGCTGACGCTGTAGGTGAACTGTAACACAGCAGTCACGCCCAGTGCCAGTTGAGCTGAGGGCCAGGCCTGGTCGTTTCTTTAGCCTTTTCTCCACTCAGGAGAGAGACCAAGAGGACTTGGGGAGTTGGCAACTTTGTTACAGACAGGTTCTGGTCTCTGGCACCTCACTGAAGTGGTCAGGGTTAGCTCCATGACCGAGGCCACCTGCACTAGGAGTTCCTTTCTCAAGTCTTTAGGAGATGGTGACAGCCAGATCTGGAGCAGAGCTGGCCTCCTGTGCCCCCATTTAGGATGGTCACCCTTGCAAGGCCTTGTCCTCCTCAGGTGCAGTCAGGAAGGCCTGCTGGGTCCCCCGTGTACAGTGCTAGGGGTGACCGTTACCGTAGCCCATCTTCACTACCGCCATTGAGAGGAGATCTCAAACCCAACTACTCTTTCTCAAAAACCAGACTAAGAGCTGCAGATCAATGGTTCTCAAGCTGGTGCACAGGAACACCAAGGGAGTGTGGAGGCTCCAAGAGCAGCTGTAGGGTCGCCTGGGGACCAAGGGGTTCCAAGACTTCCCTACCCTAGTCCATTCCTCCCCTGCCTTCAGATGGGATGGGCCAAAGGGACAGACCTCCATGGGCTCGCCAGTGCTCAGATGCCGTCCAGTCATCCAAAGCCATGGCCGCAAGCTAGCAGGAGACTGCTGGGTGCCCACCTTTTCCATCTCAGTGATTTCCCGTGGCTCTTCAAAGGTCTCCTGGCCTTTGAGCAAGGTAGTTGTTTAGTGTCACATGACACGGCTGGGAGTCAAGATTAGAAACAGTTACTTATGAGGGTGAGATATGAGGAGCTTTAGACCTGGCAAGTGTGGACCTACAAAGCTTTCCCAAAAACCTCCAGTGCCCAGGATCCTGGGGGTGGGGTGGGGTAGAGAGCTTGGCTTCAAACTTGCTGTGTAGCTGGGGATGACCTTGAACTTGTGATTTTCCTGCCTGAACTGCCCAAGCATTGAGATGACAGGCCTGCACCACTTCTACAGCTCTCCTTGTCCCTCTTGTGTGGCTGCAGAGCAGGAGTGTGGAAGCCGCACTTGGAGGCTGAGATTCCGTAGTGCGCGGTTTCTGAACACCCTGTGGACGCTGCCCTTTCCTTCTCCAGCATTCACACTCGAGGTCTACACCAGTAGAAGCTGAGCAATAACCACACTTCCTCAAAGGATGGCGCAAACGCAACAGGGAAGCTCCCTTAGCCTGGGTGGTGCACGCAGACCCAACCCCTCCCCTGGCAGGCAGGGGGTGAGCGGTATTCACAGTGTGGTGTGGCCTGGGAGGAGGAGGGAGGTACTGAGATGAAGGAAATTCAGGCAAACAGTAGCCACAGTGGCCAGGAGCCCCTCCCCCACAGCAAGTGCCCAGCTGGCCTAAGCCCCATAATCCAGTACCGAGGCTAGAGCAGCCATCACTCTGCCTTGCTCGGTCCTGCCCCTCACTCTGTGCTTTAGTTCCTGGCAAGCAGAAACAGCCCGTCCACACTCAGCCCACTCCATCATTTGGAAACAGTCCCCTTGCTAGGGTTGCCCAAGAGTAGAGCGGGCACCTTCTCCTGGAGGCTCACCACACCGCCGCTGCACTTTTCCATGCTCTGGGTACTGTAGTCTCCGTTTCCTCAAAGAGCCTTTTACATTACCTAAGTTACTGCCACCAGAGTTTCTACCCCCTGCAGCATCTTCTGGACCCAGACACCAAGCCGTCTGTCTCACCGGGGTGCCAGTCCTGCCCACCTGGTGTTGGCATGCCGGCTACTCACTGCTTTAGGTCTGCACACCTGGTGTGTGTGTGTGTGTGTGTGTGTGTGTGTGTGTGTGTGTGTGTGCAGCCTGTGTACCCTTCACACTCCCTGGAGTACACTTGTCGGCACACTACAGTGGGGACATCAAGATGCAATATTTATGGATTGCTGCATGATTCTCAAAAGTGAATAAAGCTGTTTACAAGGGAAGGGGAGCTGTTAACTACGCACTGAGTTCATTTGTGAACGCTTCTGCCAGTGGCTGGGCCTCTGTACTGTTTTTACTCCAGGATCTGGGGGTGGGGGCATGTTTTTGGGTACCAGACAGAAATTTCTGCATGGTGTGAATACAAGTAAGGCCTCTCGCCCAACTCCATTCCTAATGGAGCCCTATCTGCCCCTGCAGTCGCCTTAAACCGGAGAACTTCCAATCCTGCAGTTCCTCAATAATTAAAGACCCGCAAAGCCGGTGGCAGCAGGGAAGGCGAGGGCCCAGAGTCCCTATACTTCTTTCTTAGTTCCTGTCACCTAACCAGTTGCTGGCTAAATTAGCAGAACAAATAATAACCTCTCTGAGAGGCTCTGGCAGGCCGTGGCTTTCCTGGTTTTACCCACTGGCTCTGCTTCCGAGGCTGTCCGGGAGGAGAGGCACCTCGGCAGATGCCCCTGGAATGCCAGCTTCCGGGAACTTGAGCAGGGTGAGTGGGCGAGCTGCTTACCGGGAGACACTGGGTTACCCTACCCGCCTCGGTGTGTCTGCGAGCTGTGTGGCCGTTTCTGCGGATATAAGCGACAGGTGGCATCAGAGAGTCACACTTGCCTGCGGGCACCAGAGAAGACACTCGGGGGCCAGGGAAAGGCCTCAGAAACCAAACAAAGGCCACTGGCAGCCCAGTGAGGGGAGACTCCAAGGGCATGGTTCCCCGAGACTTGGTCTCCAGAATCCGGGCTCGGTTCCCGCAGCGGTCCTACCCGACGCGTGGGGGAGGGGTTCCCGGGGCCTCGGGCGGAAGCCGAGCACCCGCCGTGCGACCCGGCGCGGGGCTGTCGGGCGGGAATGCACAGAACCGGGTCGCGGTGGCGGGTAGGGGGGCTGGGTGGCGCGGGAGAGGGCGGCAGAACGAGGGAGTTCCAGAGAGTTGCCGCCAGAGGAGCAGCAAGGGCCCGCGGTCTCCTTGGAGACACGTTGGCCAATGAGAGCAGCGGAAGCTGTTTATAGAGGCGGAGCGTCGCCATGGCAGCAGGAGAAGCCTTCCGAGCGTCTACTTAATGCCGGTCCCCGGGCCGTCGGCGCTCACAGAAGCGCCGTCGGGCGAGGGGGGGGCCGACGAGGGGCACCAGCAGAGCCCTCGAGCTGGGGACGCAGAGCCGCGGGAGGTGGGAGGAACTTCTTCCAGAACCTTCCTCGGGCCGGGCTGCTCTCTGAGCCAGGTAAGGGACCGGGAAGGGCTGCGGGCCACGGAACGGGAGGGAGGGCGTCAGGGTCTGCGGGCTAGCCATTCCGTCGGTCGCCCACGAAGGCGGTGGGACGGGTGACCGAAACCCGAGGAGTTTGGGGGGGGATGGCTGCCTGCCTCTCCGTAACTCTGCCCGGTGTCCTCCCGTCCCCGGGACCCTCCACCCGAAGACAAGGCTCGGACGACCTCCCCGGCCCTGGCCGCGTCGCCCGGCCCTCCGGGACCACTGGGGCGCGACCCTAGCCCCCCAGTCTGCGGAAGAAAGTTAGGCTGGGCCTCCCCGCCCTCTTCCCTCGCTGGGGCAGATGGACCCTCGAAGGGCGGGCAGGCGGGTCGGGCCGGAGCTCTGCGTTCCCGCGACCTCGACGCAGGTTCCCAGGATGTGAAGGGTTCCCTCCCCCCAGGCGCCCTTTCCCCTCGGGGAAGGGAGAGTGCTCAGCTCCGCGTTGCTCCCGCAGGCCCCACATTCGTGTTCGGAGGAGGCGACCCCCCGGGTCGCGGAATGGAAGCCAGTGTTCCGGAGGCCGTGTAACTGGAGCCTCGGGTACCAGCGGGCCGGAGAACGCGGCGGGCCACCCGGCTCAGCCCGTGGATGTTGACCGCCCCCTCGGAGAGACCCCGCAGACATGGCGGAGAGCTGGCTGCGCCTGTGCGGAGCAGGACCCCGGGAGGAGGCCGGGCCGGAGGGCGGCATGGAGGAGCCGGACGCCCTGGATGACAGCCTGACCAGCCTGCAGTGGCTGCAGGAATTCTCCATTCTCAACGCCAAGGCCCCCTCTCTGCCCCCGGGGGGCACCGACCCCCACGGTTACCACCAAGTGCCGGGCTCGGTGGCGCCCGGGTCACCCCTGGCGGCAGACCCTGCCTGCCTGGTGCAGCCGCACACACCCGGCAAGCCCACATCGTCCTGCACGTCTCGAAGCGCTCCCCCGGGGCTGCAGGCCCCGCCCCCCGACGACGTGGACTATGCCACCAACCCGCATGTGAAGCCACCTTACTCGTATGCCACTCTGATCTGCATGGCGATGCAGGCCAGCAAGGCCACCAAGATCACTCTGTCGGCCATCTACAAGTGGATCACAGACAACTTCTGTTACTTTCGCCATGCGGATCCCACCTGGCAGGTAGGGGAGAGGGAGCGGGGGTGGGGCCACTCCCTCCTCACTCCCTGCTCTGGCTCTTGGCCCGGTTCACACTCCAGATCCACAAAGCCCAAGGAGGCACCTGGCTTTGAGGTCAGGCCGCTGGCTCATCAGAGGGCCCTGTCGGGTTCTGGAGCCAGGTCTTTGGGGTGCAGACGGTGAAGTTTCAGACGAGGGATCGGATCCGTAGGGCACGTTGGTCCTGCAGGCCCAGTGCAGCCTCCTGAGGATGCCACAATAAGGAACATTCTTATCCCACATCCCAGGATTCCTAGACACTGTTCTGCCCAAGGATGGTTTGTCAGAACTGGACTCAAAATGGAACCCACGGTGGCCTTCCTGCCAGGTTGTGCGCCCTTTGCCTTTGGTCTACAGAACAGGGCAGAGACGAGCCGTAGCGGAGAGGGGAAGATGGGTTGTCCAGGCGGAGGGGTCATGAGGTCATCCTGCAGCCACTGACCCAGCTTCCCACCTCAACTCCTCCCCGGTTTCCTGCCTCCACCCCTCCCCGGCCTCCCCCGGGGGCAATTACCTGAGCCACTTGCTTTCCACAGGGGCTCAGCTGCCGCTGCTACAATGGCTTCAGGTTCCAAGTCTCTGGAACCTGGCACAGAGCAGCCAGTGGGCCCAGGCTGCCGTGTAAACACCCCAGCCTTGCTAGCCAGAGGGGCACTCACTATCCACCTGCCTGCCCTGCCAGCCTGCCCTGGGCCCCTGGGCACCCGCATGGCGTGAACAGAACTGAGTAGCCAAACGTGAGCAAGGCAAGATAAGGCCGAGTCCACACCGCTTTGAACGTCTTCCAGTATCAGGGTCCAGGGGGTGGAGACAGAGGCCTCAGGTGGCCCAGTCTTCATTGAAGCACCCATGGAGGCAGGGTACGGGGATCGAAGCCCTGAGGTATTCCAAAGGGCCCTGACCCTGGGTCAGGAGACCCCCATCCTCTCCCTATTCAAGGCCTGTGCCAACTCAGGCCCCAGGAATGAGCCTTCTTCACTTGGCTGGGTAATGATCAACTGAGGTTTGGGTGGGGAGAGAAGACCGTGGGGGGTGAAGGCCTAGGCCAGCAGCTGGCTCAACAAACAGGGAGTCACTAAATCACACACACACACACACACACACACACACACACACACACACACACTCCTTCCTCACCCAGCCCCCTCCCTTAACCCATCCACTTCACAAACAGAGGGAACCAGCCAGGCAGAGGGAGATGGCAGCCCAGGCCTCCAGGCCCTGGGGGAGCTGAGGGCTTTGGCCAGGACCTGCAGGCAGCAGGGTGAGGAGGGAGGGAGGATGTCAGGGGGTGGCACTGAGAGCCACCCTGTGGCTCAGAGCTCGGATGACTGAGCAGGCAGATATCCCGGCAACAGAACAAAAGCCCCCCCCCCTCCACTCCGGGCTCCTCATGCCCTGTGGCTGGTGTCCCAGAGTCCCAGAGCTACAGCTGCCTGGTCAGGGCATCGGGTTGATCCACCCCTCCCCAGTCAGAGAAAAAGATGCCCGGAGCATACATGAGCACCGGGTGCCACCCCACCACCCGTTCCCCTGATCCCTTCTCTGTTTTTTCTCTCGTTCTGTCACCGCATCCAGAATTCCATCCGCCACAACCTGTCCCTGAACAAGTGCTTCATCAAGGTGCCTCGAGAGAAGGACGAGCCCGGCAAGGGGGGCTTCTGGCGCATTGACCCCCAGTACGCAGAGCGCCTGCTCAGCGGGGCCTTCAAGAAGCGGAGGCTGCCCCCAGTCCACATCCACCCCGCCTTCGCCCGCCAGGCCTCGCAGGAACGCAACACCGCCCCCTGGGGTGGGCCTCTGACCGTGAACACCGAGGCCCAGCAGCTGTTGCGGGAGTTTGAGGAGGCCACAGGGGAGGGGGGCTGGGGCGCAGGAGAGGGCAGGCTGGGGCATAAGCGAAAGCAGCCGCTGCCCAAGAGGGTGGCCAAAGTCCTGAGGCCTCCTAGCACGTTGCTGCTGACCCAGGAGGAGCAGGGCGAGCTGGAACCCCTCAAGGGCAACTTTGACTGGGAGGCCATCTTTGAGGCTGGCACTCTGGGCGACGAGCTGAGCTCACTGGAGGCCTTGGAGCTGAGCCCCCCGCTGAGCCCCACGTCCCATGGAGACGTGGACCTTACTGTCCACGGCCGCCACATCGACTGCCCTGCCACCTGGGGGCCTCCGGCGGAGCAGGCTGCCGACAGCCTGGACTTCGATGAGACCTTTCTGGCCACGTCCTTCCTCCAGCATCCCTGGGATGAGAGCGGCAGTGCCTGCCTGCCCCCAGAGCCCCTCTTTGAAGCGGGGGATGCCACCCTGGCCGCTGACCTGCAGGACTGGACCAGTGTGGGTGCCTTCTTGTAAGAGGACAGGCCCCACCCCATCTCCGGACAGTGCCTCCAAGTCAGGGCCCAGAACTGTCTCCCGCCACAGGCCCGCGGACATCTCAGCACCCAGGCAGGGACTGGGCCGGGTCTCCGGAGGCTGGCTCCGTGAGGCCGCGCTGCTGCCAGCTGGGCATGTCCTCATACCCAAGCCCAGAAGACTGGGAACTGGGGGCCCAGGACCAAAATGGCTGCCTCCCCCTCACCAGCAACCCCCATATACACACAGTGTTTAATTGACCCATGTTTCCCCAAGAACTGGCAAAGCCACACCCCTGGCCCCTCTACACTGTGTCACAGAAGCCTGGAGGGGCCCTGCCAGGCCAGGGAGGGACTCAACAGGGGCCTTTCTCAAAGCTCTGCTTCTCCTCACCCACTCCCTGCCGCTTCCCCGGGTGGGTCTCCACCCAGAGAAAGTTCCCAGGTACAACAAATGCTAATTAGATGACAGCAAATTAGCCCCCTGGAGGCCCCTCCCAGCAGAGCTTCCCCAGGGGCCCTGGCAGCCTCGGCTAGGGAGAGGGAGAGTGGAGGCAGGGCACTGGGGTGAGGGACCCAACAGAGAGGAGGCAGAAATAGGGAGGGGCAGCAAGGTCGGGCAAGGTGGTCTGTGTGGCCTCTGGGCCTGTTCCCCGGCCCATCACCGGCAGAGAGGACGCTGCAAACCTTTGAGGCTGAGAGCAACAGGAAGTTGGGGTTTGGGGTGGTTTGGGGCAGGGGCAGCCAAGTTGCTGGGTGGGTGGGGGGAAAGACTAATATAGTGAGAGTAGTTATAGGAAGACTTAACTGGGAGGGATGCCCAGCTTGCTGGGGACACTGGGGCCAGGAAGGGGACAGCCCTATGCCCCTGTCTGCACTGGGTGTGGGGGGGACCAGGTCTTGCTCCACCCTGACCTCCGGGACTGGGATACTTATCTACCCTCCACGTGGGGGCAATTTAACCTTTTTCGTGTAAAGTTCTTTACAATAAACTTTTTTCAAAATAAAATTTTTAAAAATCTCAACATGGTCATCATTCCAGCTTTCTTTGGGAAAGACAGAGCCAAATGTGGTGGTAGGTTGTGGCGGGGAAGGGGGGGCGGGTGATGGACTTCTTTTGATGTCAACAGGGACATGGCTGGGAAAACGGTACAGAGAGGGTTCGTAAAAGGTCTCCCCTCAACCCAGGTCCCCAGGGAGGAAAGGGCCAAGGGGTGGCTCTCTCAGGAGCCCAAGCCTCAGTACCTCCATCTGCACAATGGGAAGAGTTAGGCCTGCAAGCCCAGAGGAACAGAAGACAGGGAGGAGGTTGCCCCCACCTCACCCCAAGGACTCACAAAAGCCAGTGTGCCCTGGCTCAAGCCGTCCCCCACCACGAGGACTTGCCCAGGCTCGCCCGCCCCGAGAGAACCAGGACTCCTTCCAGCACTACCCTCCCTCAGCCCTTTCCTGGAGGGACAGGCTGTGAGGTCAGAGGAGTGCCCAGAGCCCCACACCCCACTCTGACGTGCGTTTACCAGACCCAGCCTGATGTAGGCTCAGGGAGGCCACCTTAAAATAAGGCTCAGTGCCGAGACTTGCGGCCCCCTCAACTGTGACGGTCCCGGCTACCAGAGTTCTGATGGTAAAACTGAGGCACAGGGTGTGTGTGTTCGGACGGCCCTCAGACCGTCCCTTTCAATCCCCTCCATACCACCAGCGCCGCCTCCATCCCTACACAGCACCCTTGTGCGCCCCCACCTACCCAGCACACGGGTGCGCGTGCAGAAACCTACGAAGAGCAGCACCATGTCCTGGTGCCGGCAGAGCAGCGCTGCCCAGCCTCCAGGGACCCCTCGTTCCCCTCGTCCCTTTTTCCCTTGTCCCTCAGTCCTTGAGTCTGGCCTGAGGCCAGCCTGGCATTCCCCTGCATAACACGCTGCTTCCATTTGCTAATTATTCCAAATATTCCGTAAGGGCTCACACACAGCAGGCCAGGCGGGTTGGGGCCTCACAGAGCCCATCCCCTTCACCCAGCACAGTAGGGGCTGCCCCCCCCACCAAAGAGTCTGCCCCACACCTCCCTCTGTCTCTATCCACCACCTACCCCGCCCCCTCCCTTCCTCTGTACAGACCACAGCACTAAAAGAACAAAGGCGACTGCCTCCTTGTCCGTTAGCCTCTAGGATCAGCCTTCGGGCCCGGCCGAGGTGGGCGCACCCTCGGTTGACCGTGCGGCGAGTTACTGCCTGCCCCCGGCCTATGGTGGAAAGGGAGGCCACGTCTGGGGCAAACAGAGCCACCCCCTGGGTAGATACAGGACCAAAGACCAAAGATGGCGGGCAGAAGGAGGCGTGCGCTTGGCTACGCTTGACATTCACCCTGAATCCTTGAGAATTCTGATGCCCAGGCTGCACTCCGAACCAATCGGACCAGAATCTTGAATGGGACCCTGTTAGGATAAAGTTTGAGGGGCTCCCTTGCATAGGGGGGGACCATGGCGGATGCCAGGGGGGTGAGGGTGACCAAGGCAGAGGGACAAACACGCCAGGCAGAGTTTAGTGAGAAGTTTTATTAGAAAGGGGAATAAAGAGACAGAGACAGAGAGAGGACAGAAGAGAAGAGGGAGACAGGAAAAGTCTGCTCCAGGGGAAGAGGGGAAGAGGGAGGGGAGAAGAGAGAGGGAGAAGAGCCTGACAGAGCATAAGTGGCCGGGGTCTGTCTTTTAAAGGGGTCCTTTGCACTCTCAAGGAACCCCGGGCTGACCAGGGCACTGCCTGAGTGCATTCTGCCAGGTGACAGGGGCAGGCCTGCATAATGCCCGAGTCCTTTCAGACCCGACAGTGATTTTCTTTTTTAAGACCACACACGTCTTCTGTGAGGGTTTGCACTGGGGGGGCGGGCGGGGTGGGGGTGGGGTGGGGGTGGCACCGTCTTCCCCAGAGCAAGGCATCGATGTCTTCCTCCATTGCTCTCCGTCTTATCACCTTGAGACAGTCTCTCATGGAGCTACACGCTCACACTGTTCGTCTAGGCCATGGCCGTCACGTTCTTCCGCAACGGGCCTGCCTCCCTCCCCCAGTTTTGGAGTTCCAGGCACAAGCAGCAATGCCCAGCTTTTGACATGGGTATTTTGTTTGTTTAAACTTTATTTTCTGTGCATTGGTGTAAAGGAATCAGATCTCCTGGAACTGGAGTTTCAGACAGTTGTGAGCTGCAGTGTGGGTGCTGGGAATTGAACCCGGGTCCTCTGGGAGAGCAGCCTGAGGACTATTCACTGCTGAGCCATCTCTCCAGCCCCATGGTTGTTTGTCTTTTTTCTGTTGGTTTTTTTTGGGGGGGTGTTGTTGTTTCATTTTGTTTTCTTCAATTCAGGGTTTCTCTGTTTAACAACCCTAACTGTCCTGGAACTCACTCTGTAGACCAGGCTGGCCTCGAACTCACAGAGATCCGCCTGCCTCTGCCTCCCGAGTGCTGGGATTAAAGGCGTGCGCCACACCCTGCTGAACCCCCCTGTTTTTAAGTATTAGGGGAAAGCCCCTTCCCAAAGCAGAGCCTCCCTGTCCCTTCTCGCCTTTCTGGCGTCTCTTTCATCCATGCGCCCCCCCCTCCGTCAGCTGGGAGCGGGGCGGGGCGGGCACAAGAGAGGCTACAAGCTTGGGAGCCTCCCACTGTTCTATGGGACAGGACACCTCGGGGTCCAGCTTTGTATGAAAGTCCCCAGGGAGAACCCCTGGGCATTTATAGCATTCTGAAGCAACCGAGCTAGGCGCCCGCAGGGTTGAGTCAGATCCCCACCCCCACCCCCGGGCAGCACAGGGGGAGCGGGGCGGGAAGGAAGTGGGGGATTGGGCAGGCGTTCGGTGCAGCTCGCTCCATCCTTGGCGGAGACCCAAAGGTAAACAGATGAATATGGACTCCGGTAGGGGGCATGACTGCCCCTGGGGCAGGCCTGGGCCTGTCACACAGGGAGTGGAAGTACAGCGTTGTTAACAAAGGGATGTGGCAGCAGCCCGGGCCCTGCGGACACATTCTTGTGTGGGGAGAGGGAAAACAGGTGACACAGGAGGGGCGATGCTGGGAAGGGGCGAGGACTTCGGGAGGCCACCCTTGCCAGGCCTGCGCAGCTCGGCAGGAGATGAAGTACACAGAAGCCCTTGGTGGGGGCCGGGGGGGGGGCAGCACTGCTGCCTTCCTTCCAGGGGACCTGTGACCGTCTCCTTCTGATTCTCCCAGGTGAGGCAGGTCACAGCCACCCGGACAGGCGGCGGGCAAGCTGGGGCCTGAATGTTCCCCTGTGTGCGTCAGGAGCAGCAAAGACACCTCAAAGGACAGTGCTCCCCCACACCGCCCAGGCCGACCAAGGAGCTAAGGAGTGATCAAAGAGGCACGAGGGAGCCTTCCCTGCTGGCCCTTCAGCGCCTCTGCTGTCCTAAATGGGTGGTCCCAGGCCTCACTTGCTCTTCTGTCTGAGACAGAGCCTGAGTTCTGGGACCCCATGATCTTCACCTGGAGGAAGCTCCGCTGAGCTGAGAGGAAAGCAAACCCTCCCACCCCATCCCGACCCCACGAACCAGACAGGGCCCACACCTCCATCGGCCCACCCTGTCTGTGCCCACCTCTGCTAAGGCCACCACCCTGAATGTGCCCGATTTCCTCTGACCTTGGAAGCTAAGCAGGGGTGGGCCTGGTGATGTGAACTTTAGGCTTACCCTCGTATGGCGATACACACCTGAGTCAGGAGGATCTCTGAGTTAGAGGACAGCCTGCTCTGCAGAGTGAGTTCTGGGACAGCCAGGCTATGTAGAGAGACCCTGTCTCAAAACCAGACAACTATCAAACAGCAGGAAAACCTAAGCGGCCAGCCTCCCTCCCGTAGCTGCTGCTGGTCTGTGGAATCAAGCTGGACCCCTGAGCTGCCCAATGCTCTCTCCTTACCCAGCTCTACCCATGGGCTCTAACTCCGGTCTGGATCCCTTCTGCCCTTTCCCCATACAGTGCCAAGGTCCCCTCCAGCCGGCCTCACGCTAACTGCCTTAGATGAACTGGGTGAGGTGAGGAGGCAGGGAGGGCTAACTGGGCTTCAGACCCTGTCTGAGCTAGCTTCATGTCCTGCTCCTGTGTAAATCAGCAGAGTCCCGTGTCAGACCACCCGCCCGCACTGCCTAGTCCTGAACTGAAAGCACTAAACACAGTGTCCAGTGTATGGATGGATGGATGGATGGATGGATGGATGAATGAATGGATGGATGAATGAATGGATGGATGAATGGATGGATGGATGAATGGATGGATGAATGGATTGTTGCGGTGAAAAACAGCAGAGTAGCCTTCGCAAAATGCTTTTGGTAATGACAAGGGGTTCCCAGGACGTAGACTGAGGACACCCCCAGAGCTTCGGGAGGTGTGGCTTGACCCAAGGGTGCAGAGAGTCTGGGGTCAGAGCATCCAGGCTCAGGGAGAATTTGGAGGCCATCCAGGACCGCCCTGTCACAGAAGAAAGGAAGAGACCTGTTCGTGGACCCTGCGTGTCTGGGTTCCTTAATCGTGGAAGAGGCAGTGGAGGCCTCAGTGAGGCAGCCCTGCCCGGGGTCTGTGGAGGACAAGAACCAGACGAGGAGTGAGGAAGGGTAACGACATGGAAAGGCCTGGTCCTTTTGTGTCCCCTCGGGCCTGGTCGCAGCCACCTGAGTGGGAGTGAGAATCATAGAAGGCCACAAGGCAGGAAACAGCACCCAGGGCCACTCCCTCCAAACCTCTAGTGTCAGTGTGTGAGCCGTTCACCCATTTGTACCCTGGCCACAGGGTCACCAGGACAGAGCTGTGCCTAACTCAGTCGTCACTTAGCCTACTCCACTGCACCAGCCTGCAGTTCCCAGGCCTGACGAGACCTGTGGTCCTGGGTGTGTGTAGCCTACTCCACTGCACCAGCCTGCAGTTCCCAGGCCTGACGAGACCTGTGGTCCTGGGTGTGCTGGCTTGACAGTCTAGGGTCATTTGGAAGAGGGAGCCTCAAGTGAAAAAAAAAGTCCCCGTCGATTGGCCT